GATGATGATGATGATGATGATGATGAGGAGGAGGAGGAGGAGGAGGAGGAGGATGAGGATGATTAGGATGATGAGGAGGAGGAGAGGGAGGAGGAGGATGCGGGGCAGGAGGAGGGGGAACAAGCGGAGCAGGGGCTCGCTCGCGGAGAGCAAGATCTTGGCTTGGGCCGGGCCGCCCCCGCTCCTCTGCCCCTTCTCCCGTTCCCGCTTCCGCTCCCGTCCTCCCCTCCCCCCATCTTGCCTTTACCTCTCTCCCTTGCCCCCTCCCCCTCCATCTCCCTCTCCCTTTTCTTATCGCTCATCTTTTCTCTCCTCCCCGCCTTTCTGTCCTCTCGTCTCCCTCCTCTTGTGCTTCTTTGGCCTTCTCCTCCTCCTCCTCCTTCTGCTTAGATTTCTCCTCCATCTTCTCCTACTCCTCTCCCCCCTTACGAGAAGTGCTTCGAGGACGGCGCCAGCGACGAGCCCAGATGCATTGGGCGCATGCCATACGTTCACACACGAGACGGACCCACCCAAGACGACCAAGTGCACATATTTCGACGGCGTGTGCATGCATGGGCGTGTATGTGGATCGTCGGCATGTGGGACAAGGAACATACGGACGAGGATAATTGGGTCGAACAGCGTTTGGCTTACCTGCTCGAAGTATTACCAAGGCAGCACGGCAGCCCCAGTGGGCAGTTCGTGGCGTCCAACCCGAACATGCGCTTTGACGACTTTCTCGAAGAGCATTGCAGAAGGCAGTGGGATCAAGCGGCACCGAGGCGGATACGGTTTTCCAGGCTGACAAAAACGCGGCGGAGGAGGCCTACATTTGGGTTCAACAGGCAGCGGATACGCGAAACAGGCAGCAGTTACGATATCTATTTGGCCACCGAGCGCCAGATGCGACGATATTTGCAACTGCAGCCATGAGCAGGGAGCGGGGGTCAGCATCATCAAAGAGGCAGAGAAACGACAAGCGAGAAGCGGAGGACGAGGCAAGCTCGGGCGGTAACGGTGAACCGATCAGCCAGCTCGTCCAGAGGCCCATCACTCGAAAGGAGGCGCAGGGCGTCACACGGAAAGTACAGGAGTGCGTCTTGCGAGCGCGCAGCTAAACAAGGAGGCGAGATTGGCCGAAGCGGCGGCGGCAAAAGTTGTGGCGAGCAACGACGAAGATGGGCGCACAGTGTCTGGATGGGGAAGGAGAGTGCAAGCTCGCACTCATAGGGAAATGACGCCACAGCTGTTCATGCCAGACGACACCGATTCCGAGAAGGACGGCGAGACGGCATTTAGGCACCGACCGCGGTGGCTGGGTGACGAGATGAAGCTGAGATGCGGGTGCGACAGACGTGGAGAGAGGTCAAAGTTACAGGGAGAGCTGGCGTCCGGTCTGTGCAGAGGGGACCCACAAGTGGTTCAAGTGGCCCAGAGCCACAAGCTGATGGCGGCGTGCACGGTCATCTTCTGCAGCGCGTGTGATGCCAGGAGTACGGGCGGCCCGCCTTTGCTGATGGTCCAGATATGCAAAGAGAAACGCAACGACAAGAACGCGAAGACGAGGCTCAACCACATGAGGGATGGCGACGCCCAGTGACTTACCAATTCTTGGACGAGCTGGTCCAGGTCGGGATGGTGCGCGCGGCAGAGGCTGCCACACGCTTGGTACGACCCCGCTCCTCGGGTCGCCAGAAGCAGGTGTGTCACGCCCCACCAGTCACCCGAGGCCGATACGCACGCTGTTGTGGTACCGCTCTTCGGGTCACCAGCAGCAGATAAGCGTACAGCTGGCGTGGTCCCGCTCTTCGGGTCACCAGCGCAGGGCGAGGTCTCGTTCTTCGGGTCGCACAGGGCTGAGGCCCAACCTGGTGTGGCCCCGCCCTTACGGGTCACCAGGTGGCGGAGTGGCCCCGCCCTTCGGGACTTCGCCGACGAGGAGGTACGGTACGACTGGTCTGGCCCCGCTTCTCGGGGGACCAGTGTGCAGGTCAGGGCCTTCCCATGGGGAAGCCATGGGACCCTCGGCAGAACCGACGCCGCGCACGCCATCGGCGGAGCCGCGGGGCGGCGGGGAGGCGACCAACCCCGTGAGGAGAAGGCCGCATGCACTACGGGCCCTGCGCCGTCGAGCTGATGATGGGCGTGCCGAGCTCCTTGCGCACGACCAGTCGGAGCCCGGTATGATGGGCAAGCCGCCGAGGGTGGCCTGAGGGGGGGGCTCGTCCCGTCTGCCGCGGGCGCGACGTGGCGGGCGGCCCGCTTCGAGGCGCGGGAACCGACCGTCCGCCTGGCAGGCTGTTCGTGCTCCTCTCCCAACCCTTTCTCGGTCTCCTCCTCCTCCCCCTCCTGGGCCAGGCGTTGGTGGTGGCAGTGGGGGGCGGTAGGCGCCTGGGCCGTTTTGCGTCTAGAGCGCAGTCCCTCCCTACTCCCTCTCATCGTGTTTGCCTTCGGCGGACACCTCTCCATGCTCTGCTGAGTCGCCTGCCCGTGTCCGTCTCGCGCGGACGCGGCCGCAACCGTTGCCTACCACTTCCTCCTCCTCCTTCTCCTCCTCCTCGTCCTCCTCCTCGTCCTCCCCCTCCTCCTCCTCCTCCTTCCTCCTCCTCCTCCTCCTCCTCCTCCTCCTCCTCCACCTTCTCCTGCTCCGTCTGGTCCTCTACCTCTTTCTGTTTGTTTTCCTCCGAAGCTCACCCCGTCCTCTCCTGTTCGCCCGGGTCCTCCGCCCCCGATGCGCGTGGCGGTGGTCGCGTGCAGCGGGCGCGAGCTGGCGGCCCTGGACGCCGACCCGTCGTGGCGGCTGCGCGACGTGCTCGCGGGGCTGCCGCAGCACGGCGGGTCGCTGGGCGGCCAGAGGCGGCTGTTCCTCGGGGGGGCGGAGCTGTGCGGGGCCGCGACCCTGGCGGACGCCGTGGGAGAGCAGCGAGACAACTGCCCTAACCTGCCAGAGGCCCGCGCGGATTTCCCGGGTCGGCGCTGGGCCCCCCTCCCCGACTGCAGACCCCGGCGCCCGCCGCGTGGGGGGGGTGACCTCCAGCGCCGCGCCCAGAACTCCGCGCGAGCCTCTGAGAGCTGTGTGCGCGTGTTGTTGTTGTTGTTGTTGTTGTTGTTGTTGTTGTTGTTGTTGTTGTTGTTGTTGTTGTTGTTGTTGTTGTTGTTGTTGTTGTTGTTGAACATTATTCCTTCTTAAGAATTATTATTGTTGAGACCCCTGGTGCGCGACCCCCCTCCAAAACCTAGGCCGCAGCCTCATTTCCTTCATTTTCTAGCGAAAGCTTCAGAAAAGTGGATTGTGTCCGGATCCGGTTGTTTTGTTGTAATCCGTTTTCCCTTGCAAAAAACACTATAAAATGAAAATTCTTGTTCTTACTTGATCAAATTGCAAGAATCCCTTGCAAAAAATAAGGTAAAGTGGACATTCGTGCGCGCAAGACGAAATCCTTCCAAAACCTTAGGTTTCGTAACGATTTTAACATAAAAACATCAAAAACCCAATGGTTTTTTAAGAAAAAATTGTCAAAATGTCCTTCCGCGCGCGCTGTCCGAATCCCACAAAACCAATGGTTTTTCAACATTTATGTTACATGAGCTCGCGCGAGCTACTTTTTCTTGTTCTAACATAATCAAATTTCAATAATCCCTTGCAAAAAATAAGGTAAAGTGGACATTCGCGCGCGCAAGACGAAATCCTTCCAGAACCTTAGGTTTCGTAACGATTTCAACATAAAAACATCAAAAACCCAATGGTTTTTCAAAAAAAAATGTCCAAATTTCATCCCGCGCGCGCTGTCCGACTCCCACAAAACCAATGGTTTTTCAACATTTATGTTACATGAGCTCGCGCGAGCTACTTTTTCTTGTTCTAACATAATCAAATTTCAATACTCCCTTGCAAAAAAAAGTAAAGTGGACATTCGCGCGCGCAAGACCAACAAAAAACACGACGATCTCAGGAACTTGCCCCAAAAATGTGACCAACTCCGCTCTCTCTGTCTCTCTCTCTGTCTGCTCTCTGTCTCTCTCTCTGTCTGTCTGTGTCATGTATTGTATGTCACAATTGCAGGATGCTGGGCACACGCGCGCCCCGAATAAGTGACCAAGTTCTGTGGGTGTGTACCCCACGCCAGTGTAGTAGCCACGGTCGTCCGCACGCCACGAAGTGAAGTGTCCCAACGTCATAGGGCGGGAAGCTGGGTTTGGGTGGTCGCGAAGAGTCGTTTGGATATTTGGTAGAGCTTGAACAGCCCCCCCACGAAGTGGGGGTATTGTCTCGCGTCGCATGAAAACCCTGGCACTGGTGAGAACACTGAGCGTTCGGGTAAAATGATTGTTGTTGTTGTTGTTGGTGGTGTTGGTGATGGTGGTGTTGTGGGGCTGGTGTTGTTGTTGAGGTCGTTGAATTCTCACTGCCGAAGAGTAAGTATTGTTGTGTCATTTGGAGTGTCCTGCCCGGGATCGCACCCCTCTTTTTATCAGGGAATGACACGGGGCTCGGCACCCGGATTACAACAGCAAGGGCTCCCGCCAGGCGTTTCTTTACAATTTACCCAGGACTCCCGTTCCCGCCTGATAGTTCCTCGCATTTTACTCGGGAATCGCGCTCACGCTTTGAATTTCTCTGCAGTTTATTCAGGGATCGCTTTCTCGGCGCTCTGGAGTCGCGCTGTCGCTGGAGGACTCCTTACAACTTAGTCAAGGATCGGACTCTTGCGTGGAATTCCCTGCAAATTATCAAGCGTCGCGCTCGCGACACTCAGGCACCCAGGAGTCGCGCTCACGCTTAGGACTCCCTCACAGCTTACTAGGAATCGGGATCTCGCTGCCCTTCTGGGCCCCGTTGCAGCCCTTCGTGGCCCCCTCACTGCCCTTCGTGGACCCGTTGCAGCCCCTCGTGGCCCCCTCGCTGCCCTTCGTGGCCCCGTTCCAGCCCTTCGTGGCCCCGTTGCAGCCCTTCGTGGACCCGTTGCAGCCCTTCGTGGCCCCCTCGCTGCCCTTCGTGGACCCGTTGCAGCCCTTCGTGCCCCCCTCGCTGCCCTTCGTGCCCCCGTTGTAGCCTTTCGTGGCCCCCTCGCTGCCCTTCGTGGCCCCGTTGCAGCCCTTCGTGCCCCCTCGCTGCCCTTCGTGGCCCCAGATACGCATGCCCTTCGTGGCCCCGTTGCAGCCCTTCGTGCCCCCTCGCTGCCCTTCGTGGCCCCAGATACGCATGCCCTTCGTCGCCCCCGCTCGTTCGCGCCCGTCGTGGCCCCATATGCATGCGCTTCGTGGCCCCGCTGTCGCCCTTCATGGCCCCCTCGCTGCCTTTCGTGGCCCCGTTGCTGCCCTCAGTGGCCCCGTCCTTGCCGTCTGCGGCCCAATGTACATATGTCATTCGTGGCCCCCGCTCGTTCGCGCCCGTCGTGGCCCCATATGCACGCCCTTCGTGGCCCCGCTGTCGCCTTTTGTGGCCCCGTCGCTGTCCTACGTGGCCCCGTTGCTACCCTCAATGGCCCCGTCCTTGCCCTCTGTGGCGCCGCATAGCCTGCCCTTCGTGGCCCCCGCTCATTCGCGTCTTTCGTGGCCCCATACGCATGCCCTTCGTGGCCCCGCTGTCGCCATTCGTGGGCCCCCCTTCCTGCCCTTCGTGGCCCCGCTGTCGCTCTCGCTCTCGCTCTCGTTTTCGCTCGTCGTCGTCGTCGCCGTCGCCGTTGTCGTCGTCAAATCGTCGTCGTCGTCGTCGTCGTCGTCGTCGTCGTGGTTGGTCCCCTCTGTCCGTCCCTCTTGGGGTCGGGTTGCCGCCGATCAGCGCTGCCGCTGGCCAGGCATCCAGGGCCCAGTCTGCAGGGAAGAAAGATATATACCCCCAAAGGGGTACGATCGAAGACGAAGAGGGCGGCTATCGAGGGTTTGGGACATGCACGTTGGATGACACTCGAGCAGATAAGAGCGAACAGTCTTAAAGTGATTGTTGTTGTTATTGCTGCTGCTGTTGTTGTTATTTGTGTTGTTGCTGTTGTTGCTGTTGTCGTTTTTATTGTTATTGTTCTTGTTGTTGTTGTTGTTGCTGTTGCTGTTGTTGTGTTGGTGTTTGTATTGTTGCTGTTGTTGTTGCTGTAGTTGTTGTTGTTGATGATGATGATGTTGTTGTTTTTTATCCCCCCAGTTGTTATCCCAGGAGATCGGGGCCACGGCCAGCAGCGCGCTCACTCTGGTGTTAACCCCGGCGCTGCGAGTGGCGACCGCTTCCCGAGGGGGCAGAAGGCAGCATTCACCCCTGGGCGTGGCGCAGAAGGGGACTGCGCCAAGGGAGGCGGCCTTCAGTGGGGTTTCTTTGAAGGGCTCGAGGGCCCCCATTTTTTGTTTTTCCATTTTTCCAGAGCGGCGCGATGGAGCCCTGATTCACCCGGCGCGTTCGACTACTCGCAAAGGGCCTACTCGCAAACGCCAGAAAAACACATGCCTGCTTCGATGTAATTTATGGTAGATCCTCCGCGGCGGATCCATGTGATTGGCGAGTATCTATTTTGCAAGTAGCGGAACGCGCTCGTCTACTGATGGGCCCCCCTGCTTTCTTGGGAAGCTGCGTTTGCGTGGCACTGCAACGTCGGCTAGGCCTGGCCCCCTCCATCCCTGGAGGGCAAGAGGCCCTCCTCTCCGGCGTCGCGCCGATCCTGCCAATCCGATGCGATACAGTCGGGGCGCTGAAGAAGGAACCCTTTTCGTTGGGGAGGGGCTCCGCGTTCCTTAAGTGTTTCGCAGCTTGCCTCAGGTTTTCCTTATGTTTTCGATCGGAAAGCGAAGTTTAACTTATGGAAAAAAAGGGGCCTCGTTCCTTATTTTGGGTTCCTTAGGCCAATGCCCCGACTGTACTCAATTTGCCTGGTTCGATCCGATCCGATGCCGATTTTCTGGCGATCCGATGCGGCCCGATGCTCAGGGCGCCAGAGACGGGGGCACAGCCAACGGGGGGTACAGGGAACGCCGATTTCCACCTTTGACTATGCCCCCGTTTAGGGGGCCCTGGGCGGCGTAAGCGGGGGTACAGTAGACGGGGGTAGATGGAAAAGCCCGAGCCCCTGTTTAGCTAAACCCCCGTTTGCGAGGCCCCGAGATGCCTGCACGGCGTTGTCGGCACCTTGGTGCGGCCGGCCCGAGTCGACTCGACTCCGTGCCGGTGCGGCCCCGCTCTGGCGCACATCCCGATCCGGCCCGATGTCCCGATTCGGTGCCGATTGGTCTTGCCTCCTCGCCCCACTTTCGGAGGCCTTGAGGCTGACACCAGCACCAACATCGGCGGTGTGCCGCCACTGAGGGAAGATGACACCGATCTCGGTGATTGTGGTAATTTTCGAGGCTCCTAGGTGGCCGATGTGTTACCACCAACACCAGCATCTAGAATCATCTTCCCCCAGTTGGGGCAGCAATCCCCTGCGTTGGTGTTGGTGTTTTTATTAGCGGTGGGGGCTCAGTAACGTCTCGTTTCGGGCTGGCGCCGTCGGGGGATGTCTAGGAATAACCAGCCAATTCGGAGGTCAGCACGAATCGTGACGCTTCCTGGTGGGGGGTCGGCCAGGGCCGGCAACGACCGTCGTCGCGAAACAGAAGGAAACGCTCTTCACTTGAGCGACGTAACGAAAGCTGGGTCGTCTGCACCGACATTGGCGCGTAAGCTGCCCGCTTATGGTCGCGCGTAAGCGCCCTCGTCTCCAATGTGGCGTGTCGCGCTGGTGGCCCGCGTGAGCCACCACTAAGGTCACTTTTTCATCTCGCGTGAGACCCGTTTTTTGTCGTCGTTCACTTTGGAGGCCTCTACAGAGCGGCGACTTCTTTCAAGGGAGGAAAAAACACCCTGACACCGATAATTGGCGTTTGCTGAACGACCCTGAGCGTCTACGAGACAGCCCTGCCCTGTTTGATTCCTTCCGTGGGTGCGTTTCCTAAATGACTTCGCTTGTCGGGATGCCCACTCCAGATCTCGTAATGAAAAGTGAAGGGGTCAAAACCCTCCAAGGCGAGCCGCTGTAGCCCCCTCCCCCAGACCAGCCATGGAAGGGCGGCCTCTTTGCCCAGACCCCCTCGAACCCTTCAAGACAGCTCAAATCAGAACCCCCCAAACTGTGACCCCCCCCAATTTTTTTGGGGGGAATCCAGAGAACTACGAGCGGAAGTGAGAGGGGGCGGGCCTTCTCAGAAGGCTCGGAGGTCCCCCGGACCTGACCTCGCCCCGGATTCCATGGCCCCATCTTTCGGAGGTGGATCGACCTCCTAGCCTGACACGTCGATTAGTGAATTGTCCGTTTTCGGTTCTCGAGAGGGCGCCGCGGCCGTTATTTTCCAGGCTTGCGCCCGCCAGGTTTGGGCCCGAAGTTGTTTTCACTCAACCACGTTTTACTAAAGGGAAGTCTGTCCATCCCCGAATCCTCGTGCCTCAGGGCGTCCTCTGATCCAACCCAGGCCGCGCGCGTGCCTCGGGCCATGCCTTGCGAACGCCCTCCTTGGGGACGACCCCGAGCAGAGGAGCTCCGAGCGACGCGGGTCCCGAGGCGTTTCGCCGATGTTTGGCTCTGCAGGCCCTCCACGGGCCCCAGGACTGTCAACCTTTACCAGTTTGAAGCATATCCCTATCCCTATGTTTGACATCACCTCACCTCGATGCCGATCTTAAGGATTCCCTCAGTTTCTGAGGGCCTATCCCTAAGATTGTCCTCGCTTTTTGCTCGACCATCTTAGGGATAGGGATAAGTTCGAGGCTTGTTAAACCTGGCCAGGCCGCGTGAACAGCACAGGGGGACCCAGGACCCGTCTTTCCCTCGGGACCCGCTGCCTTCCCCGCCACAGAGCGGAGTGTTCTCAGGCTGTCTTTTGGCCCCCTGACCTCATGGGACCACACTGCGAAGATCTGGTGCGGGGGGTCTGGGGAGTGCCTGCGCACGCTGGAGGGCCACTCGGGCCGCGTGAACTCCGCCGTGTTCTCGCCGGACGGGCAGGAGGTGCTGACCGCCTCGTCAGACGGCTCGGCGAAGATCTGGTGCGCGGGCTCTGGGGAGTGCCTGCGCACGCTGGATGCCCACGGGGACCGCGTGTTCTCCGCCGTCTTCTCTCCGAGTGGGCGGCAGGTGCTGACGGCCTTGGGCGACGGCATGGCGAAGACCTGGTGCGCGGGCTCGGGGGAGTGCCTGCGCACGCTGGAGGGCCACGGGGACCGCGTGTTCTCCGCGGCCTTCTCGCCGGACGGGCGGGAGGTGCTGACCGCCATGGGCGACGGCAAGGCGAAGATCTGGTGCGCCGGCTTCGAGGAGCGCCTGCGCACGCTGGAGGGCCACGGGGGCCACGTGAACTCCGCAGTGTTCTCGCCAGACGGGCGGCAGGTGGTCACCGCCGCTGGCGACGGCACGGCGAGAGTCTGGTGCGCTGTCTCCGGGGAGTGCCTGCGCACGCTGGACCGCGTCTCTTCTCTTCTGCCCGCGGGGTAGCTGCAGAACCGGGCGCGCCCGACTCTGCATGGCAGGGTTCGTGTCGACGTAGCGGTGACCCCATCGTGAGCGTTCGCGGTTGAACGCCGCCAGTTGCCTGGAAGTGGGCGATGTACGCGCTATCGCAGAGCCGCGATCGTTCGAGGTTGAACGGTTCACGCGGTGTCAGAAGCCAACGCGCAAGTCGTCACGGCACGAAGCTGTCGTAACCACATACTCATCTTTTCCATCTTGTCCCGAAGTGGTCAACGCCTCATGTCAGAACGTGTGGCCATGAGGCCGCCCGAGCGGAGCGGCTGTTCCTTGTGTTTCCCTGCCCTGCGCTCAGGGTCATAGTGGGCCCTCCTGCTCCTGTTTTCCTCCCTCGTGATTCTGATTCGCTCCGGTTGAAACACGAGGGCGCGCTGACCCAATCATGCACCTGCATCACAACAGCGCACAACGTACACTCATGATGCACAAACAAGAAAGAGTCATCGAGCGCAGTCGGGAGCGAACATCCCCCATGCCTGGCTCTCGCAGGAGGTGAGGAATGGCCCGGACCCCCATTCAGGGGAGCCAGTTAGTGATAGGGGCCAACATCAAACACATGTGAGATGATGGCGATTGTGCTCGCGTGGGGGCGCGTTCTCGGTATGACCACGGGTCGACGTCTTCCAGACAAAATCAAGCGTCACCCCCCTCTTTCCCCCTCGTCCTCGCCAGCCTCGTCTGACATTTTACCCTCTTCTTTGTTCGTCGGAAAATGATGCGCCGGCTCTGTGGTCATCCAGCTTCGCTGGATGACCATAGAGCTTTCGCACCATCGTGTTGCCAGCGTGATGCCCTTCAAGAACGTTCAGGTGTTGTCGCGTGCAGTCGACGCGAGTCGCATTGTGAAGCCCGCGAAGGAATCTTGACCGGCCTCCTAAGCTCCAGCAAGGGTGGGGTTCAATCGGCAGCCTCCCCGCAGGCGGCTGGAATGTTGGGGAACATCCGTCCTGTCATGGGACCCTTAGGGAGGGAGGCAGGTCACCCCAGAACGCGCGGCGACGGCAGTTATGGCTAGTGCTTCTGTCCCCCAGACGCCGCCAGAGCTGGCGCGCAGTTCCTGATGGGGTCGGGTACCGAACCGGGCTGGAACTCTCAGACCAGGTCTGCCGTAGCCCGTGCTTTGTCGGGCGACGGCAAGTTCCGCTCAGCGGGTTGGGCCGGGGGCCCTCTCCAACAGCGGGCCGCCGCTTCGCTTGGGGCGCGTCGGGGAGCCGCGGCACGGGGCCGCGGCGCGGGGCCGCGCCGGGGGGCGGCGCTGGCCCCCCGCCCCCAGGGTGTCCGTTGCTTCCTGGGCGGTTTCCGTTCGGGTCCTCCTGGAAGCTGTTTTTGAAGGGTCGGGCGATTACCTGTGTTATCGGGCTTCCCCCCCCTCCCCCACCCCCAGGATATCCTAACCTTGCCGGTTGTGCAGGTCCGCCGGAGGGGGGGCGCGGGCATATGCAGGGCTGCCCACAGCGCGAGGGTTAGCCTCCTCCCCCCCCCCCCGGGATAACCCGGGTTATCGCCGATTCTAAAAAAAACGGTCTCCTGGAGCCCCCTCGGGGGCATTTTTGGGGGCCCGTGGGGCCCTGTCGTCCGCGTTTCTGACGCAAGGAGGCTTCGATCCGCGCGCTCGTGGGAACCCAGGAAGTCGGGAGCCCAGCCACCCGCCGCAGTCGTTTGGAAGCGTCCACGAGGTCCTCGCGATCTTGGGACCTCTGGAACCTGGCTGCCTACCGCAATCGGCAGGGCACTTGTGTCACATCCCTCAATATCCTCGGGCATCCTTCCGGTGGGAGCGCTGATTGGGGAAAGTATGGCCCATTTTTGATGCTGCCTCTGCTTGGGGCGGAGGGAACGAAGTTGGCCAGCAGGCAGTCGAGCGATGCTTTCGAGCTGCGGCTGGGGGGCGCCCCCAGTACATGTCACTAAACCAGTTCCTACTAAACCTAGTCCCGTCAATACCCGAAGAGGGGTCGAGCGGCACGAAACACGCCGCGATTTTCTCATGCACAGAGAGATCCTCAGGAACTGAAGTCGAGACATCTGACTGTGTCGCAACCAAGGGTCTGGGCAAATGACTGGCACATGCCAGCAGGATATTGCTGAGTTGCTGATGTGAAGCACAGGGTCTGACTGTTGACTCCGAGCAGATACGAACCGTGGGATCTTTGCGAACAACGGCCATAATTGGGGAGAAAGTTATCGATGTCAGAGAGGGGTTCAACATTGATTGAGAAAGGACTCGTGGGCTTCTTGGACATAGCCTTCCACTGACACTGATCTAGATGCACGGCTCTTAATTTCATGCCTTCGCAAAGCTGTTTCTTGCAATTTCTCTAACTCCTGAAGCTCTGGTAACTTCCAGGAGGACGGCAAGTGGCTGGGGCCAGGGATCTCCGGATACTCCACGGTAGACGAGGCCCCTGTCATGGCACATCCGTGCGCCGCCTCGATCGACGTCTGGAGGGGCCCAGTGCCCAACAAGAACCTCAGCACGTGCCATCATTGCGAGCTCCGCGGCTGACTCTGGGTTTCTTACCTTCATGTGGGGGCGGCTGGGCACGTACAGTAGACCGGGCTTCGCAGGGAAGCCCGCAGATTACGCCCGTAGCCTCGCCACTCCACAGCATATCAAGAGCAATCTTAACGTAGGCACGTTCCGACATGTCACCCCTGCTGGAGTGATGGCAACATCGATAGACAACATGATGAGATGCATCTCTGAATGATCTCTGAACAAATCGAAAACAACGGAATGCCTCTCTTTCTCTCTCTCGCTCTTTGTTCTCTCGCTCTCTCCCTGCGCTGGCCGATGAATAAATGCAGGTGAGAATGTCTGTTCCTCCCTGGTGTAGCGTTCGTCACCTGGGCCCCCCCCCCCACCCCGGGTGACGCTAACGATCGTGCCGGGCGGGGAGGCCTGGACCCCCGCCCTACTTGCCAGGGGGCTCATCGAGCTCACAGGCACGGCGCGGAGCCGAAAGGAATGCTCCGGTGCTCAGAAGCGTGACGTGGCGCTCGCAGGCCCCCACCTGTTGCGGCGCCGAGCTCACAGGCGTGGCGTGGTGCCGAAAGGCATATTTCGGTGCTCACATGCGTGTTCCTGCTGTTCTTCCTGTTGTTCCTCCTGCTGGTCCTCCTGTTGCTGCTCCTCTTGCTCCTCCTGCTGTTCCTCCCCCCTCCGTATTCCCCTCCCTCAAAGAATGCCGCCAGGTCTGTTGAAAGAGGAGAGGATGAGGACATGGAGGAGGATGTGGAGGAGGAGAAAGAGGAGGAGGTGGAGGAGGTGGAGGAGGAGGAGGTGGAGGAGGAGGAGATGAATTGCGAGTCCTGAAGGCCTCCGTTGTCTGTGGCGAGCCCTGCAAGGAGGCCTCGCAAGCTACTAATGTGCTCGTTGGCACGTTTGGCGCTCTGGTGTACACAGGCTTTGTGGTGCACGGAGGCATTGTGGCGTGCGTAGGCTCTGCGGTACACATGGTTGCTGCAGTGTACACAGGCGCTGTAGTGTACACAAGCGCTCTGGTGCACGCAGGCAGCGAGGTGTACGCAGGCGCTGTTGCGCACACGGCTGCTTCAGGTTACACAGGCATTGTGTTGGCGACGTGGTGCTGCGGTGCACGTGGCGGTTGTGGTGTTCGGAGGCACTGCGGTGTGCACAGGCGGCGGTGTGCTGCACGCAGGCATTGGGCATTGTCGTGTGCGCAGGGGCTGCTGTGCACACGGATGATTGATGCGCCGGTGGCGCAGACGCATCTTGGCGGGTGCACGCCGCGGCCGCCCTTTCCGTTACCCTCCCGCCCGACCCCCCCCCCAGGTCGAGTCTGGGCCTGCCAAAATGTGCCTATTGCTTATTATTTTCATACCTAGCGCTAGGCTCATTTGGGTCGAGGATGCAAGGAAACATGAGGCTGAGAAAGGAGTGGCCCTTGGAACCTGGCGGGGATGCAGAGACCCAAGTGGCCTTTTTGCCCGAAGCCTGATGAGATCTAGCCGATTCAGCTTCCTCAGTTCTGAGCCGAATCGCTTCCTTCCAAAGGCAAAGAGCAAATATACTGAGCCAGCACTGCACAACATTCCCAGACGCATAACGCACATGTGTGAGGTACGAAACTCCAAGCCACAAGCGTTACACCGACTGCCTTGTATAATATATGCTGTAATATTCATTTCGGGGTGGTCAATCGTGTTGTATCTAGATCGGGCCCCTGCAGTGTTTAACAGCTTGTCGCAATCCCGACTAGGATAGGAAAGAACAGCCCAGCCTCAGCTCTACTTACATGCTCTGGGCATTGGACACCACCACGAGCACACATAGATGAGAGGCGCTTCCTCCAGAGCGCCGTCTAACATTGAGCGGCCCCAACTGAACTTAGCCTTACCAGCAGCCTCTATGCCCCAGAGTTGCCACTGATGATGGCAGGTAGCAGCACGTACGATCCACCAGGATAAGGGTCCCCAGGGTTTGAAATCACGGCCCAAGTCCATGTACCAAGCTACCCTGAGACAATCCTCCCAAAGACCCCAAGCCCAAGAACCTTTGACCTCAAAATGGGTATTGAGCATGAGGAGGACCGCGAACGGGGCGTTCTCCAGTTTAACCTCACAACAGCATGCGGGGAAGCATTTTGGCATCAAGGACAACTTCCTCGTTGGCACGATTGACGACAGTGGGGTTCCTTTGGTGGGTGCCAAGGGCAAAGCGAGAAAGGAGCAAGACAAGCAAACTCAACCATGTCAGCTGGTGATCTGAGCAAAGGCGGCTGGATGCAAGACTTGTAAACTACCAAGGCGGGGCAGCAAACTGCAACATATCTCACCTTCTTGGCAGCATCGAGCGCGCTGTCTTGACAGAAGGACTTCCGCAACGCACCAACGACGGGCAATTGAGGTCTAGTTCTGTGGACTCTCTGGCACCAGATACCTCCGACACTCAATCATCATCCCAACAAGCTTGCAGTATTCCATAGACGAGAGATTTGCGTTACTTTGTTCGATCCGCAGCCAGCCGTCACAATGAGCAAGATCCGACACGACCTGTATCGTTCCTTTACCCGCAAGACAAACCATGCAACAACTTTTTTCCGGCCAAAAGTTTAGCCCAGCACGTGACTCTTTCATTATTTCCCACACTGTTGCCAATAAGGAGTTACGCAACTTCTCGCGACCTGGAAGGGTCCTATGAGAAGGATCGCGGCACAAGGTCATCCACAAGTGAGGGTTTACCTAGGAAGGGATCAACATCACATTTCAACTCAGTCAATGCGGAGGAGGAAGAGGACATTCATTCCGACGTATTCAACGCCATTCCATGGGCCTTCATTCTAGCAGATCTGCGCATGGATATTGGGGCAAGAGCAGCCAAGAACAACATTCCAGCCGGCTGTAAACCAGGGCGCGAGCCCGTAGAAGAGACCGCTAGTTTGGACGCATCTTGAATTCCGAACCACGTGACGGAACTATGCTCAGCCACCATCTCATGTATCGAAGACGTCTATGGCGAATCACCGCCGCCCCCTTCCTTTTAGGGAGCGCCTGTGTGGCTAAACGTTTGGGCTAAGTTTTGCTGCGCTATATCGGTCCATGCGTTCCCCCAGCCGTTGTGGAAGCCTTTCGGGGAACACGGGAGGGAGGAAGAGGAGAATGTGGAGAGGGAGGCAAAAGGAGGATGAGCAGAAGGATGAGAAGACCTCTTGGGAGCTTCTCGGGTCATTCTTGAGACACCCTGAGAGCTTCCCGGTGCCCTCTTGGAGGCATCTTTGGGGCCTCATTCGGCTTCTTGGAGGCCTTTGGGGGCTTTGTTGGGGCCTGTTTAACAGTCTTTCTGCATTATTGCCTCTTGTGCCGTGTCGGGGCCCTCTTGGGCCGTTTTGGGGCCCTCTTGGGGGCTTGTCGGGCCGTTTATGGGGCGATCTTGGGCAGTCTTGAACCCCGTGAGGCCGAATGGTCGTATGTGCTAGACGTGTAAGTTTCCTACGGGAATTGGATGATGTTTGCCTTTTGGAGTCCTCTTGGAAGGCCTCTCTGGGCTTCTCGTGGGGCGTCTTGGGCGCCTCTTCCGCCGTTTCCAGGCCATCTTGGACGTCTTGGGCCGATCGTTTGGCGATTCGGGGCCCTCTTTCACCGTCCTGGGAGCCTCTTGGGGCGCTCTTCGCCTGTCTGGGGCCCTTTAGGGCTCGAGTCGAATATGTCATGCGGGAAGACACGCCGCGGCCTGGGGGGCACGCCACAAGTCCTGAGAGATTTGAGAATTCTTCACGCTTCGCGAATCCCCACCAGTGCCTTGGCCGCTTGAATTCTGGTCATTTTATCCAGTGCACGTGCCCGAGCTTGCAGTGCGCCAGTCAGTTCTGCTTCACCCAGCCTGCACCTGCCGTCTGAGTGGGCCGGCCGGCGCGCCTGTCCTAGCCAATTAGCCTCGTTCGTGGCCCGGACGTTGCCTTTGCCGCTTGACCCTTGTCTCGTGGCCGCTGACCAAAAAAAATCCCCACCAGCCCATCCAGAAGCCTTGCCCACGAGAGCTGACGGAAAAAGGGACGAAGGGACACACCCAGGGAAACAAAGCGAGCAACCAGGATGAACCGATAGATCTCTGGGAGCAAGGGGGTGGCCTTGGAAGGCCTCTTCGGGCCATCCCTGGGGGCCGCGTGGGGGCGAGGGGAAGAGGATCAGGAAGAGAGGAGTGAGGGTTTCAAAGAGTCTGATCTCTCGTGCTGCTGCTGGTGGTGCTGCTGATGTTGTTGCTGCCTATGCTGGTGCTGCGGCTGGTGCCCTGGAAAGCCTGTTGGGGCCGCTTAGGAGAGCATCGATCAAAAGATGGGGAGTCCTCGATTTCGGCCCCCTCATAGGAGCACCCGAAATCGTCTCTTGGAGCTCTCCTGGAACTCTTTGGGATGGTCTTGGAGCTCTCTTGGGGCTCCTTTGGGGGTCTTGGCGCCCTCTTGGAGCCCTCTTGGGGCTCTCTTGGGGCCCTCTTGGGAGCTCTGGAAGGCCCCTTGGGGCCACCTTGAAGGCCATCGATTAAAGGAGGAGATGGTATAACGTTCAGCCCCCCCAAAGAGGCCAACATGGGGCCCAAACCCTAGTGAAACCAATGATTTTGACGCCCAGAGGGCTGGTTGGGAAACGTTCAGCCCCCCCCAAAGGGGCCAACATGGGGCCAACACTTTAGTAAAGCCAATGACTTTGGCGCACAGAGGGCTGGTGGGACATTTCCCCCCCCCCCCCCAGAGGCCAACATGGGGCCCAAACCGGAGTAAAACCAGTGAATTGGGCTTCCTGGCCGAGGCTGTTTTGGACGCCCTTACACCTCGCGGACCCCCCCAAAAAGTCCAGGGAAGGTGTAAGGGGAGGGGTAAACCCCTCCCCGTAGGGGAAGAGGGTTTTTTGGAAGAGGGAAGAGGCATGTCGTTAAACCACCTGCGCCCAGAGGGCTGGTGGGATTTGTGCTTCGGGCCCTGTCAAGAATCCTCAGGATTGAGGCTTGAGGCTTAAGTAAGGAATTAGGCCAAAGACCTGAGGACACTCCAACTCGTGCCTCAGGGCACGGTGGTGGATACTCATATCCTCCGACAGCGCCACCTCACAGGTGAGCTAATCAGCTGTTCCATGACGGGAACATGAAATTGGGGGCGAGTCATCGTGTTGATGGCAGTTGTAAATGCGTACAGGGCATGCACGAGTTGAACAATGAACTCCCGCACCGCAGAATGGGACGCCGTATCTAGATTCTCAGAATTAAGGGATCTGGGGGTGGCACCAGTATCATGTCATGCAGCGTCGCTAGATGACATGATACTGGTGCAGCCAACTCTGTGACACAAGGCTTGGGATGGTCGAGCTCCATACGATGCAACTTCCGTTTCGCTCTTAGGTCTAGTTTTGTACCGGTGGTCACCCAGGGCAGATGCTTAAAAACTCGTCCTAGCGAACTGCTTTTCGGGTTTGCTATCATGATCGGCCATGCAATTCGGGAGCCTGTGTTATCCTTTCTTGTACAAGTCTTGGGCGAGGCCTCCTTTGAAACAGAACGGCTCATGATGCATGAGTTGATCGTTCACACGCAGGGGTAACCACAAGCTGGCTAATTCTTGCGGGGCAACCCGCAGTAGGTGGTTGGGCAATCGCTCGCGACTTGCAGCTCTTCTCTCGGACGTAGGCGTGGTGGACGTTTCTAAACCAATGAGAGACACTGTCGTTGAGATGCCTGTCAGGATGAGCCTGCACATTTGGCTGAAATTTGGTATACATCTCAAGCCAGACTTTTCTGACTTGGAAAGGTGTTGTAAGAGGACATTCGCAATCTTTCTCCTGGAGGTGAAGAGTGACCCATCCTTATCATCCTTCCTGGGGAGCCCTCTGTAGGCGCACTTGCTTTTGCTCCCCCGGAAGTAGGCAACCTTTTGACCTGGCTCCCTCCCGCTCTGGAATCGTGTACGGCATTACCTTCTTGAGTTCCCTAATCACTCCTTCAAAGAATTGAATTCGGTCTTGGCGAAGCCTGTTACGAATAGCCTTACTGTTGGCGAAGCTCGCTACGAATAACCTCCCTTCTGCCCGTCCTCCTTCTCCTTCACCCCGATTCCAAGTGACCACGGGACATTGCGGTGCTCATTGGATGGATTCTTCTGTCGGTGGGCTTGTAAAACGCCCATGCCGGGTGGTGGTGCCTGTGCTCGTGCTGCTCGTGCTGGCGGCGGTTGTGCCGGTGCAGTTCGCCCGCCTCGCCAGCGCCCCACCCCGACCCTCCTGCTCTGCGACTGGCCGCCTCCCCCCCCCTCTCGGGGAGGCGCACGCACATACCGATCTGGCGCCTTTCCCTCGTCGTTCGTTCTCGGGACCTCCTGGGGGGCCCTCGTCGTCACGGCAGGCTTCGCCTCGGAAGTCGGGTCAGAACGCGCCCCGGGAGGCGCTCCAGGGGGATCTGCGTCGGCATCACCTTGTTTGCCCAGTCTGGATTTTGCACGGAAGAGGGCGATAGTTGCGTTGGCCCCCTCCGAATGGCAAAATGATCGTCCATGGAGGACCACGGCATGCACGTGAACGTGCTTTCCGCCGTGTTCTCGCCAGACGGACAGGAGGTGCTGACTGCTTCGACTGACGGCACGGCGAAGATCTGGTGCGCGGGCTCTGGAGAGCGCTTGAGCACGCTGTTGGGCCGCCAGTCCGGCCAGATGTCAGTGAAGTGCGCCGTCTTCTCGCCGGACGGGCAGGAGGTGCTGACCGCCTCGACTGATAACACGTTCAGTGGTCTTTGGAAGCGGTAGGAGCATGTGTCTGGTTCTGGTTTAGACGCGGAGACATGAACGAAATTCCGAACGACGTGGAATTGTCCCGGTGTTTGCTGGCGGGCGGGTCCAGGATTTGTGTGGGCTTTACACAAGGGAACGTCTTGGAAATCATAAGAGCAGCGCCAGCAGGCTTCAACGCGCTAGAATAACAGAAGCGGACAAACAACAGCGCATATGAGTGCTTCCGAACATCAGGGAGACGGTAGCGGCATTGATCGAGCTACATATTTTTCGAATTTTCAATCGGGAACGGCGAATCGGGAACACGGGCATCACCGCCACCGCGCACTGTATAGTGAACATTGTTCGGGGGGTGGCTCACGAGCGCGAGACGTTCAAAACACACATTCTACATTGCATTTCGGGCGAAGGTCCGCATGCCTCAGTGTATGTACGTGAGGCCTCCAGCAAACACAGACGTGGCGACGAACGCGGAAATGAACAGAGGCCAGGCTCGAGACGACTGAACACAGTTTCATGAACAGTTCTTCGAAGAAGAGAAAACGCCACGAGCATAAACTTTTGGCGCTCCGCGTGGATTTTTTGGATCCGCGCTGGGCCCCACGGCGGCGCCTCCAGCGCCGCCCCTGGCGCCCCCCGCGCGCCTTGTAGGGAGGTCCTGCGCAGATCCAAGAAATCCGCGCGGAGAGACACCAGTTCATGTTTACGTAGATGTTTCTTCTTCTAGTTCTGAGCGTTTTCAAAGACGCGCAAGAAGCAGCACGGCAAAGATCTGGTCCCGCAGCGCGGACTCTCTGGAGCATTTGCGCACGCTCCAGGGTCACCGGGAGTTCGTGACCTCTGCCGTCTTCGCACAGCCGTGCGGGCCCCTGGGCTGAAAGAGGCGCCCGTGCTGCTCCTGCCATGGAGTGCATGTGTGTTTTCTACCTGCTGTGAGTCGCGGTTGCCCGCCTTCCCCCCCTCCTCCGAGGCGATGCGCTGGCAGTGGCCAAAATGTGGAGCGTGACTAAGTCAGGAGGGAAAGACACACACACACAGACAGAATTCATCGTCGATTCCCCAGAGAATACGGGAAAATATGGGAAGTGAGGGGGAAACCAACAACCCAGAACATATGAGAAATTATGGGGGATCCTGTTATTTGTGTGTACTTATTTGTGGGTCCTTGGGTCCCTTGAGACCAAGAGGCGCCAGGCGCCCGCCCAGGCTCTCCGCTGGGGCGAGCGCCGCATGGAGCCCACGGGCTTCCCTGGCCCAGTGGCTCCGTTCCCCTCGTTTCCAGTGAGCCCTTGCTCCATGCAGGGAGGACGAGGAGGAGGATGATGAGGAGGAGGGGGAGGAGCAGGAGGAGGAGGAGGACGAGGAGGAAGAGGAGGAGGGGGAGGAGGAGGCGGACGAGGAGGAGGAGGAGGAGGAGGAGGAGGAGGAGGATCAGGAGGAGGAGGAGGAGGAGGGGGAGGAGGAGGAGGAGGAGGAGGGAGGAGGAGGGAGAGGAGGAGGAGGAGGAGGACAATGACGAGGAGGCGGAGGAGGAGGAGGAGGAGGAGGAGGAGGAGGAGGAGGAGGAGGAGGCGGAGGCGGAGGCGGAGGCGGAGGAGGAGGATGATGATCAGCCTGGTCGCCCTCCTCTCCGAGTCTGGCGACGCCGAAGCTGCCGCGAGCTACCAGCGTCGGCTCGACGAGCACCGCAAGAGCAAGCTCGACGACGACATGTCCCTGGAGCTGGCGAAGGCCCGCCTGGACCGTGCCGAGTCCATCCTCAGCAAGTCGGTCGGCAAGCTTGAGAAGCTGGAGGAACAGGTCGAGCAGGCCCAGCGCGAGGTGGAACAGCACAGCGAGGAACTGGACGCAGCCAGAGCGCACTACCAGGCCTGCGTGCGCAAGTTGCACACCAGCATCGCCGACGCGGACCAGCCCGACACCGCGCAGGCCACCACGCGCATCAACCTCTCGAAGCTCCTGGACGGCGAGGATCTGCTGCTCGACGATGGGAACATGTTCGGCCTGGAGACCCTGGGCGACGTGGTGTCCCAAGAAGACAGAGACGAGGCGACGAGGCGCAAGGAGCAGCTCACCTCGGAGTTCAAGTCAGCGCTCGACAAGCTGTTCGGGCCGCTGCGCGAGAAGGCGGCCGCGCTGGGGCAGGAACAGCAGCGGCACTTGGAGCGGCTCTCGGCCAAGAAGAGGAAGTCCAACGACAGCGGCGAAGAAGGGGCCCCAGGCGGAGTCCCAGGCGGAGCCCCCGACGCGGCTGCACCGCCAGCAGCATCACCAGCAGCTCCTGAAGCCGCAGCAGCGGCCGCTCCCGAGGCTGCGGCCACACCGGCGGCAGCGACCGCCGCCGCGCCCGCTGAGCCGGCCTCGAGCGGGCAGCCTACCACGACGAGGAAGGCCAGCTCGGCGGTCCAAGCGGCTAAGGCCAAGCTGGAGCAGGCGTCCAAGGCCAAGGGGTCGGCAAAGTCGGGCCTTTAGCACGGGCCTGAGCTATGACCAGATGCAGTACCCTGTTTTGTCGGCCTCTCCATCGAGAGCTAGGAAAGGCGCCTGCATCCACAACTTCACCATGTACAGCGTCAGTAATGCAGTTACCTCGCCTGCTGGGGCCAGGCCGCAGGATTGCAGCGGTGACGCACTCTCCCTTCCTGAAGATTTGCATCTGGGGTTTACCGAAGGAGTCCCTAGGGACTGCAACCACCGTCGGTCTGATGCAATCCCCTACCTCGTGAAGTTGAGCAACGGTCAGCGGCGCCCTCGGCGCGCAGTTATTCGCAGCAGCCCAGCGCCGAAGATTGAGAGGGAAATCAAGCGATGGGCTAGGAGATGGATACACGACGTAAGGGTCGGCGAGGCCGCCGACGAGAAGGAAGCTTTCCTTGACTGGTGCGAGCACTACGTCATTGAGCAGTTGCGGGCCCCCAAGTTCCAGAGGACGCTGCAGGCGCGCGGCTCCACGGCAGAGCAGATGGCCAAGGACCTGTGCGATAGGGCTTGGCGCAGTGGCGCTCGCAGCAGGGCAGCCTATCTGCGATGGCTGGATACTCTCACGTTCAGCCAGTGGCTCGCGGCCGTCTCGATTCACCGCGCGGATCATGAGTTTCTGAGAAGATGGATAGCGAGCTCTGACCGAACAGGGCCTGCGCCGCCCACGGGGCCACCTGGTCAGCGGCCCAGCGTCACGACCAGCTGCGAGGGACCCTGGTCGTCGGCTGCATCGGCGTCATCCGACTCGGACAGCGACGACGGCTGGGACCTCGACCACCGCGGCAGCAGCGACCTGGTGGACCTCAGCGAGTCCGACGACGACGACTGGGGCCTGGTCCGAGCTGACGCAGCTTGCCACCAGCAGCAGGACACTCTGCAGGACGTGCAAGACCGCAACGGCAGTGACTCCCACATGGCCGATCCAAGGTGCTACGACACCGCCGACACCTTCGAGGCCGATGAAGAGCGAGTAGAGCGCACGGAGCGGCATCGCCTCCGTGCGTTGCTGAGGGCATGGGCGAGCACTTGGCTTTATCCAGAGCCAGCCGTGCACGACGAGCTGAATGCTCGCCAACACTGGCGATACTACTGCGTGCCGTACGTGTTCAGGGTGCTGGCGGGAACGGCCTTCCAGTCTATGGTGGCCAGGACTGCGGCAGCTCACGGCGTAGATGATGTGGAGGCCAGAATGATTTTGGCCAGAGACTTCTGCAGTGGATCGTGGGCAGATCAGGCACGCTCACGGGGCCGTTACTGGGCATACTTCTTGCAGCTGCGAGAGACATCGGCCCAGGACTACGACGAGGAGGTCCACCGCCACGTGGACTCGCAGAGCAGCACGGCCGCATGGATGGACACCCGCGAGCAGCCGACAGATCGCCAGAGTCAGCCGACCGCGTCGACCAGCGAGTCAGCCAGCGCACAGTCGGCGGAGGCTCAGTCATTGACTTCACCAGCCTCTTCCTCGGCCACGACGAGCCTGAGCGCGACCTGCAGCGCTACGACAGCGACTCCTGCTCGGCCTGAGGCTCGGCGCCGCAGGCAGCAGCGCAATAAAACCAACTGGCGTTTCGTCACCCTGAACCCCAACTCTTGGTCCTCGGCCCAGGAAGTTCTTGAATGGCAGCTGCAGTGCGGGGAGAAGGCCCACGGGTGGGCCATCCAGGAGACCCGTCTGGAGGAAGCCTCGATTCGGTCTGCTCAGAAATGGGCCAGCCTCCGTGGGGTTAAAGCCACGTTCAATCCTGCTGTTCGGACGGGAGATCACCAGTTGGCCACGAGCGCGGGGACCATGACGGGGGTAGCCTCGCACATCCGATGCAGACCGCTATTGGACAGTGAGCTGAGCCTCCGACGTTCTGCTCTTGGGAGGGTCTCGGCCATGCATGTCGATGCTATGATCCCCACGGGCTTCTTGTGGATATCGCTGTACTCGCACGTGGGTCAGGAATGCTCTGGAGACAACCTGGAACTTCTGGAGGACCTGGGAGCCTTCTTACAAGGGTGTGGGCGCCCTTGGATCTTGGGAGGGGACCTGAACATGGAGCCGAGTAACCTGGGGCTCCAGCGGTGGAGCCAGCTGCTGGGAGCGACGATCATCGCCCCTAAGGTGCCTACGTTTGCAGCGACAGGCTCCGCCAGGTGCCTGGACTTTTTCCTTGTCTCACGAGGTGTGGCGTCCAGTGTCGTCGACGTCAGGGCGCTGCACTCAGCGCCGTGCGGGCCCCACACCCCAGTGATGCTGACGCTGCGAGGGTTTTCACTTCGACTGCCTGTGCAGGTACGTGTGACGTGGAAGCCTTTCCCCACCAAGTTGCCGATCGGATGCCAACGCGAACCCTGTGCTCACGACTGGTCTTGGGAACCCACTCAACTTCCCTTGGAGGCCTCCCTGGAAGATACCTGGAGCGAATGGTTAGGGCATATGGAGGACGAATGTTGTCGCATGTTCGACCTCGTGGACGGCGAGGACACCCCCTTCAGAGGCCGTGCTGGAGGGTTTCAGACGAGGTCGGTGCAGTTGGCTACGCTTTTGAGTAGGAAATGGGGCCAGGGGACCTCGCCGAAGGCTCGTGAGTGGCGTACCCTCCAGACCATTGTGCATAAGATCAGCAAGCTTTGGGAAAAGGCTGACATCCAGACCTTTGCGACAGCCATCGATGGGCTGTGCCAGGCCCTGCGCAGCCTCAACCCAGTTGTGTTAGGGCCTGACCTTGGTGCGCTGAAAGACTTACCTTCTATCGTTGAAACGTGCCAGCAGCAGGGTGACGAGTTTGGCCAGTTTCTGGAGGACCTGGATTTGACCACCCAGAGGGTTCTGAAGGCGGAAGGAAAGGCCAGGTGGCAGAGGTGGAGAGCGTGGGCTCGTGATGCGGTAGCTGGCGGAGGGAAAGCGGCGCATCGCTTTGCTCGGGACACCCGGCCCACCCCGAACCCGATTGGCCCCGACGGGCTGCCGCTCCAGGGAGATCAGGCCATCCAGAGCCTCAAAGACCAATGGGACGAGTTCTGGCAGAACGGTAAGACGTCCATCAGCAGCGAGCAGGAGCGGGAGGCCCTCAGCACGACCCTCCCACCTCCAGATCTCCTGCAGCTTCGAGGGGCTCTCAAGAGGTTTCGGCACGACGTGGGGCTGGGGGTGGACTGTGTGAATCCACGTACGTGGCTACTTTTGGATGAGAGCTTCCAGCTGCGACTACTAGACGTTCTACTGCTGTGGGAAGCCAAACCTACCCTCCCCACCAAGTGGCCGTCGATCATCGTGTTTATCGGTAAGCCCGACAGTGACGGTTTGCGGCCCATTGCATTGATATGCAGCTTGTGCCGTGTCTGGGGTAGGCTTCGGCAAGACATCGCTCGAGCTTGGGAGGCGGCTCACAATATTCCCTGCTTTTGGGGTTCCAAGGGGCGAACTTGTGACAGAGCTGGGTGGGGGCATAACATGTACTCGTATGTTTCTAGCCTGAATAACTTCCAGGTGGCTACCTTGTTCACGGATTTGGCTAAATTCTACGAGTATATCTCGCATAATAAGCTCATGGTGGAGGCTCGCGAGACGGGCATGAATCTCAGACTCGTGTTTATCGCTTGTCGGGTGTATTCTGGAGCGCGGACCCTTAGTTTTCAGAACGCCATAAGTGATATATTCTATGCAGAAGGCACGGTCTTGGCGGGATGCACCTTGGCAACGAGCTTTGCGCGTACGCTCTTGTATAGGCTGCTGCATTCGATTAGTCAGCAGCACCCAGCTGTGCACGTTCGGAACGTAGTGGACGATGTCCACGTGCAGGCGCTAGGCTCCGAGGCGTTCGCGACCAAGGAGCT